AAATAAAATCGTATGAAGAAATAATTCACTGTTAAACTCCCAAATATTAGTTTAACACAAATAAACATTTTCATTTCAAGATTTCCCTTCAATATTTTAGTGCTATTATAGCCTATCAATTTGTAACTTTCCTAACCTAAAGATTTGCATTCACCATGTAAACTGTTTGGCAATCCGTCAACCAATTAAATTAAGTACAATAAATATGACAGTCTGTGAAAAGTCATAAAACCAATCAGTGGACAAAGCGGAAAAACGTTTTGGCTGGCAATTTTATTAACAACAGCCATCGGAGAAAGTTTCGGACTTGAAGTTTTGCATAATTTCCAGTTGAACGGTCACAAAAGAGTGGAACAAAGCCCTTGAGGCCAAACATTTAACGACGCATAAAATTTATAAATATTGGAAGGGGATTGAGGCTGCTCCTAAATGGGACAAACTCCGCATAATTTTGCATAATTAATGCAAATTGCAATTTTTATGTATTTGTATTGGCCGAATCCGGATTTCTGCTTGTTTTGTGGCCCTTAAATCCGTTTTTTTCGCTTCCTTGCTAAGGACATCAATTGGAAATTACAATGTAAATTAACTGGATGTAGAAGTTTTCCTGCAGCTCAAGCTGTTTGCTGCATACTTGATCAGATGAATTGGGACTCGGTTGGGTCGACTTGAGTTCCCTTGAGTGTGGTGGATTGGGGATTGGACTCCCGACTCCAAATAGAAATTGATTTCTGGCCCCAGCCCCAAATCTCCACCCGACGACGGAAACCGGCAGGAGGCGGAAACATTCGCGTCAACATACGCTCCTACACATTGGCAACAGTTTGGCACGCATATCGGATGCGAATCGGGTAAACCGGGAAAGTAAGTTTCGAAATTGGGCCGACAGCCTGACAGCCGGGAAAGCTGCGTGCCAGTCCCCTAAACACGACAGGCGGACAGAAACAAAGCAGCATTAAAAACTCATCATCCGGCCACGTTTGCCATGAGGAAAAATGCCATGCGATGGGAAATCGTACTACGGAAAAGCAAAAGGAAAGGCAGTGGAAAATGCAGTGAAAAATCTGCCGCCACTAGCGCTGCCGGCAATCGCAGGTTGACTGACATTTCGAATGCAGCGGAGCTTCGTTTTCCTTGTCCTGCCGCCTCGAGGCCCACTTAAGTGGTAAGGATAACAGCCAACTGTTGTTGGCAGCCGACGCTGGGACAATGAACTCTCCAGCCGCCACTTGAACCCAGGTAAACCGATCTAGACGGCCCGATTCTTGCCGCGGCCCCTGTAATTGAAGTTTGCTGGCGGACCCATAAATGCATTGGCATTTTTAATGAGGACCAAATTGACTTGCTGTTATTTTAAATTATAGCAGAACCTTATAACTGAGCTGTGAGATTGGTAAGATTGACTTAACTAGATATATTTTGAACTGAATTTGAATTATAGTCAAAAGGACATTAAATAAGCCATGAAATATTTTAGAATGTTAATTTTTCATTTTTTATACTATTTTATAAAATACTTACAATATTTTAAGTGTTCTAAATATATAAATGTCAAGTAAAGAAATATTATTTTTAAACGCATCTTTTTTATGTTCGCGTTTATTCTTAAATAAATTTCTCTGATGTTTGTCATCAGACTTTTATTACTGATTGCACTTAGGTTAATTTATTGTATTAATGTTAACTCTTCTCTTTTGAACATATCTACTTAATATGCAGCAAATGACAATTAATTTCCGCAGTGAAATTAAATCAGTTAAAAATCATAGGTGGTGCTGTCAACTTTGGGAAATGACACAACTTTAACAATTTCCGATGAAATCCATAAAGTGCTATTTAAAAAAAGGCAATGACTGATCATCCTTTTATTAATTTCCGCAATTTTCCCACTAACCACATTTCAAGTGAAATCGGCCCATGCATTAAACATTCTTTCCGAGGGACTATCATGATGTACTGCTGATGGGTTCGGAAAGGGACATCGTCCAACAAATCAAACAGTTCGGGCACGCCATGGCATCATAATTCGCAGGATTATATGCAGCTGGCATGCCAACCACCGATTACATATAGTCGTGCGCCACTCATTTAGTTGGAGATTCCTCAAACCTTTGGGTGGTATATATATATATATATTTTCCCCTATAATCGAATGTGCTGCGGCTCTTCAGTCTCCATTCGAGTGCATTCGGGAAATTAATTGCTTTGCACTCGAGTGTACAACTTTCGTTCGTGTTGACATTAATCAATGACATTTTGGCATGGCCAGGCGCGTCTTCGAGTAGGCAGGAGCAGAAAGCCGGACAAGAGCCACTCGAAAGTGTCAATATCAAATGAATTGCAATTAAGCACAATCCATCAGGCCATGTGTGAGTGTGTGGAAGTGCGAAAAAGAGTTTGTCGCCCTCTGGTAATGCCAATTAATGATTACCCAGCTGCAATCGCACATTCTCGAGCCACTTAAACACTCTGGGCGTTGACAATTAAAATGTTCCCTCATTTCGCCAACTCCTGGTCGTCCTCCTCTCTCATTATACAAAAGTCCTGCAGTGCTTGAAAATGGGACAAAAAATGTTGTGTCGAGGAATGTCCCAACATTTAAATACCTAGTTGTCTTTTTTGTGTTTTTGGGTCAACATCTTTTTCTATTAACCATGAACTGATAACCAGACGCCGTTTATATATTAAATACATTCTAACTATGATTTAATAAACAAAAATTTTTTTAATTTAAAGAATTTGTTGCAATTGAGAGCTTAAGATATTATCGCACATGAATTATGATTAAAGGTATAGGTATATGAAGCTGATTTTCTAAAGTTACGCAGAACTCCACTGACGATTTCCACTTGCCTCTTTAAAATACTTTTCATTTAATTTACTTACACAATACAGCTTACAGGTTTGTGTTACAGTATCAGCATACCATTTAAAATTAAATTTATTTTCGATATCAATTTTATTATGTCATATTATTATTTTATAATATAAACACAACATACCCTTGAACTCCACAGATACCGTGTGCAAAAAGGACAGCGGACGTCATGCGGTTGTCCCTTTCTGCCTGCCGGAAACGGAAATGATAAGCGAGTGTCAACTTGCCAACTGCCTTTTCAGCTTCCTCTGCCATGCGAATGTGTGTTGTGGTTTTATTTCTGTAGAATTTAATTAGAAAAGTTAGCTGGGCCTGGTCAGGTGCATGACCCCCTCTCCTTCCCCCGCTCACCCTTCGCCTTACTAGCTGCTGAAGACGCCTCATTTACTCTTTTGGCACAAAAGTCGAAGCCACTTTTGATAAGTGCGTGTTGCGAAAAAGTTACTCGAATTTCCAGCGCCACCGAAAACGTGACAAAAACTTGTCAATGCATATGAAGTGGAAGGGAATCGGGGTAATAGGGGAAACGGAGTGGAGGTCCACCAGCAGAGGTAGAGGTCCAACAGAGCGTGTCGAGTATGCAAAATAGGATGGGTTGCACGGACAGCGACAAATGTCCAACATTAGCTGGAGAGCCATCGCAAAAAAGGTAGAATAATATCATATTTTTGGGCCCGAAAAACAAAATACTCTTTGGGCGTATATGCATTTCAATTTGTTAGAGAAAATGTGTTTAGCAAGATGTTAGATACATTGAATCTAAGTTTCACCATTATAAAAAATATATATAATTAAAACTAGCTAGCATTGAGACAACCAATTATCACGACCTTAAAGCTTAACTAGAATTTATCTTTATACATAATAAATTACTCTCTTTTTAGCATGAAAAACTTATATAGTATCAGCAATGTTTTTGATGTATACTACAGAATATAAATAATTTTATTTTATACTACTATTCCTCAGCATCCAGCTTCAAAAGTCATTGAAATTGTAATGGGCTATCAAAGAACGCTCTGTTAATTTTTACATGACACTTTTTATGCTTGACCTATGCATAACATATCATTAACATTAATGGAATTAATGGAACCAAAATTTAACTGGTTTCCAGATACCAACTTACAGTAGAGATCGCTGGACCCTCTGGAAGGGTATGCCCTCGATGTGGAAGTGAGAACTTTGGGCAGGACAAAGTAGAGGAGCAAGTTCGCAGCTGGTAACCTCGTTTATTATGTCATCGGGACGGCGAGCGGTGAAACCATTTGGAGGGCGCATCGGGTGGTTCGAATGGGTTGATGGGTGTTGGTGTTTCTGCCCCCACCGGTGATTGGGCAGGTGTGCAAAAAAGGGGGAGCATAGATAGATGGCAGGGTGGGAGGATGGAGGATGGACAATGGTACGTGCCCGGGGCAGAGGCGTAAAAGTGTGCGCACGACCAAACCGCGCGGGCGAAAACTTTCGTAGGTAGAATGTAGTTGGAGACCCACTGGAATGCAGCGGGTCGCATCGGGGTCTCCACCTTCCAGGGGATCGGGTGTGCCGGAATCGTAACTGTAAACTTATGCAACTGGGCGACTGAGCTTGTTTAGATTTATAAGCTGCCACTGTCCTTGGATGGACGGTGGGTGGTGGGTGGTCGCTGCAAAAATGCATTGAAGGTAAAAGTTTAGTCCGGAGTTGATGTTTCATATCAGTGAGCTGCAGTGGGCTTTTTCTGAAGACGCACACAATGAGGTCCTTGATTTTGGGTTCTAGTAGAGCTCAAGTAAATGGGGAATGTAAAGTAAAGATAGCTAAACCACGATAAACATATTAAAATTTTTAAAAAGGAACATACATTACATTATTGGCAAATATTTTATTAATAAAGCTGTATGGCATAATGATTTTACTTAGGGGATTGGCAACTATAAATTTTTCTTAAACACTTTTTTTCATTTTCTTGTAGTATTTTTATTTAAAAATTATTACTTGTAATCTTAACTCAATCGGTGAAAAATGTAACAATAACAACTTTATTTTTTGATGGTACAGTATATTTTGACCCTTTCGCAAGTTTGTTTTCCTAAATTAGGCTTTTATAAAACTGTCATATTTATTACAAATTAAATTTAGATACCAATCAATTCCGAGTTGCATATTATGACAAGAAATGTGCTGGAGAATGTTTGGTAAAATCCAATCGGGTGATTCCTAAATCAATGTAAAAACACAGAAAAGCAAACCATTACATATATCATAGTTACTCAATTTATTTAATTGAAAGCAACAAAAATATTTCTTTAAAATTTTCAGTGAAAGTTAAAAAACACATAGGCATTCCCCTCCCAATCAAAAGTTAGGTAAATCAAGAGCGACGAGAATCCGAATGCTCGTTGCAAAGGGGTAGGACCATCATCTGGATCATCTGGAGGAATGCCGGTTTTGGATGACAACATTATTGATGAGTGTGAGGATGCGCGAGAAGGACGCTTGCCGCGTTGGTGGTTCGGTGGTTTCTCCTCCGTCTGCGTGGCCTTCGCGGTAGCTCCAATAGACATTGTGAAGACTCATATGCAGATTCAAAAAAAAAAACGGTCCATTTATGCAACGGCTCTCAACATCCACAAGTTGAGGGGTAAGTGGTTGCAACTAAAAATTCTAAATAATATTTATTCCCATTTCTAAATAGAGCTTACCATTAGAAAGAGAAATATCAAATGTCACACCAAAGTGTAACTTTTGTGATCTAAAAGGTCCCTCTAGCGTTTACATTACCAGAAATTTCGATTTTTAAATAAAGATCGAAATGGCTGTTAATGCACATCGCATACTGATCAGTTAATTTAGTTTTGTACTCAGTTGATTTTCTCGATCACAGGGTTCTTGGGATTCTACGATGGCTTTTCGGCTGCTATTCTGAGACAAATTACTTCCACCAACATCCGCTTCATTGTCTATGAAGCTGGAAAAAAGATGCATCTAGTCGATGAAAATGCATATCTTGGCAAGATTATCCTGGGATGCGCGGCTGGTTTATGTGGATCCGTCTGCGGAGTACCCACCGACCTGATTAATGTCCGGATGCAGACCGATATGAAGGACGAGCCGAACAAGCGACGCAAGTATTTTTACCTGACTTCCGAATAATCGCCATCAATCTTAGGAATCCTTTCGCATCGTTTCCAGCTATAAGCACGTCTTTGATGGCTTCGTTCGAATACCCAGGGAGGAAGGTTGGATGACACTCTACAAGGGTGGATCAGTAGCTGTTTTAAAAGCATCTCTGGGAACTTGCAGTCAAATTGCATTATACGACATAGTAAGTTTCCTAATCACGGTCAAACATCAATCTAATAACTTTTATGAAACAATTTCACATTTAAACTAACAAATTTAAATCAATTTATTTAAGATCTCTTTTTGAATAAGTAAAACTATCTGTGAGAAGTTGATCATAGCAAGTTTTCTGGAATATCCCCGATAGTCTTTTGATTTATATAACATTTTAATATTATATTATACCATTGAAATAATTTGTCTAAATATTCTCTTCTAAGATTAAAACAGAAGTGCGAAAGAATACCTCTGTGAATGACGGTGTGCCCCTGCATTTTCTGACTTCCCTGGCAACGTCGATCATTTCGTCTACGATCACTCATCCCCTGGACGTGGTGAAGACCCTAATGATGAACTCCAGACCCGGCGAGTTCAGCACAACCTTCCACGCGGCCATTTACATGATGCGATTCGGGGTCACGGGACCCTACCGTGGATTAGTTCCTGCGGTAGTGCGGAAAGCACCAGCCACTACTTTGCTATTTGTTTTGTACGAACAGTTGAGGCTTCACTTCGGAATTTGCTCCCTGGGAGGGGATAAGATTAACGGGTGAAATTATTATATTATATATAATTGTATAATATAGTTTGAAACTAAGTAGGACTTTGCTTAAGCGAAAGGTACTGTGCATCCGGATAGTACAAAATATACCTCATGATATGTTTATAAAGTTTTTGTACAATTAAACAAAAATATAGAAAAATGTACTTTTTCAACACAAGACTATACAAACAGAACTAAGAAGGCATATTGTGTTCGCCAGATCATTGACCCAAAGAACCGTTTCCTTCCGCTAAACGAAACATCAACCACAACTGGTCGCATTATAAATTGATTACAACTCGCAACGTGACTAATGAACATTAATTTGTCCAACTCCTTGACAGGGAGGACGCAGTTGCGCCAGCAAAGTTGGGACTAAATGCCAGCACGTGCTGTGTGTGTAGTTCTAGTTCGGATGCCGCCGCCACGATGACAACTAGGCGTATGAGCAACAATGCCCGGACAGCGATGGCGGAGTACACCATCGTGGCATACATCCTTTAAGCGCCATTTGTGTGGGTGTCGTGTCACGTAAACGTCGGTAAATGTTGCACGTATGGACGGCATTGTTGTGGGTGGTTGGGGTACATATGGAGGACACTCTGGCTATTACTCCACACGCACCCACTCTCGGCTACCCTTTAATCGTGATTGCAATCATTGTGGAAATTGAATTTGTAAGTAGGCAATTTTGGGACGATTGCAACGCGCAAAAATAAGAATAATGCTACGCAATAAAACTGAATTAAAGCCCATAGGTTGTTTTCATTCTCCTTTACCCTCACAATTTACATATTCCCTACAGTAGAAAAATATACTAAACTTATAGAACGTGTCTTAGAAATATTTGCTTGGCATTGTTTACTTCTTTATTATAGCTCTTAAAATTTAACAAAACTTAGGATTATAAATTTGACGTCAATGATTCTGTAACAAAAATGATATATTGAAAATGAAAAAGAATTGTCTTGTATTTTCAAGGACTACGGGATAATCTTACGATATAAAATGGCTAACTTTGTGTTATATACCTAAAATTTGTATTACCTTCAAATTTATTTATTTATTTGTATTACCTTCTAAATTTAATTCATAAGAATAATTATTTTATATTATATATTTATATTTATTATGTAGCTAATAATTATGTTTAGAATCAAATTTTGTTGCGAGTGTTTAGCTCTGACTCGTCTCCTAACCCAAACTAACACTTAGAACGTGACTCTCACGATTTGCATAAATACTTGCAGCTAAGTTTATGACCGACTTGCGATTGCATCGACGATGAGTTGTGCCTCGGATGGCGGAAGACATTGCCGAGGGGTCAGAGGTTGTTGGTTCGTTGTTTTCTGTGTCGCTTGGCAGGTTATTAGTCGCTCGGGCTGCACACTTTGTTTGCCATTAAAAGCATTTGCATAGTTTGTATTTATGCAGCCGTTTTGGTCGTGGCCAGGTCGCATCGTTTTGCATTATTAAATATAGCGCATACGCACTGTTGACCCGTTTTCGGTCGGGTTTTGCGGGCAAATCGTGTGTGTACAATCAATGTGGAATTGAATGCCTCATGAAGGTGCAAGCACCGTTTATTTGAGCTGGTTCTGGCCGAGATTGTTTATCAAATAAACACTAGTACGAGGTCAGGAGTCAGGAAGTGACCAATTATTTGAATAGTGGACAGGATGGCATTGAGGTCAGAGGTTAGAATATGTAGGTTGGGGTTAAAACGTTTGTGCTATCTCGCAGATCTCGGAGCTGGGTCATGTTGGCTCACGGCCTTTGTAAATATTGATAATAAACTTGACGGCTTACTTAGGTGAAATCTTAGCTTAGTTACTTTATTTGTAATAAGAAGTTAAGTTAGTATTACAAAACTTAGCTTTACTATATTTATAATATTGATTTTATTACTTTATTTATAGACAATGTGAAATCAGTCTGGCGCTTAACTTTATCAGATTTCCTAACTTTCCTAACCTTAAGAATACAGTGCTTTGAATCTAAGAGATCTTTACGATTTCTTCGCCGTCGGTGCTAGCTTTTATTTTCCTCGATTTCATAGTATCCAAAATGAACACGGATTTGCTCAAAACTCAAAAACGTAATGATCGTATTGGGCACCACTCGCAGGAAGTAGGGCACCATTCCGCGGAAGGGTCCTCTTAGCCCAAATCGCATCATGTAGGCGAAGGTACGTATCAATCCCCTAGAATTCACCATCTTGAGGGTCCTTAAGTTCTCTATTGGCTTTACGATCGGACCGCAGATACAAGCAGCCGTCATGGAACTCATCAGGTGCAGAAAGGTGTTGTCGTGCTTCAGTTTAAAACATTCCATGTAGATTTCTTTGGCCTGCAGAATGAATAGGAGAATACTGGTAATTAAGAACTAGATCAATTATTTACCTTATTTAACTTATAATGCTTAAACTTTACTTAAAATCGTGTTATAAAAATGTTTTAATTTTTCGTATGCAAAAAAAAAATGTGGCACATGTACATATTTCTCTTTGATCATTAGGATTCTTATTTAATTTAATTACTTTTTTGGTTATTGGTCATTTCGAAATGGAACAAGATAGATCCAATTTTAAATATAAGAAAATTATTATAAAATAATAAAAATAATAGAGTAGAGACATTTTTGTTATAAAAATTTTGAATGGAACTGTTAACTAACAAATGTTTCTTCTTGGTTTTTTTAAGCAAATAAAAAAATGTCATGAATAGCAAACAAATTTTAAGTTTTTCATAGCTTTTACCTGATCATAAGCTGCGACCTGGCCGATGGTTGTGAAGCACGACCGGACCAAAGACAGAAGACATCCCCTGTAGAGCGACATCCAGCCCTCATCCCTGGTCACGCGGTACAGTCCGTCGAAGACGTGTTGGTAGTTCCACCGCTTTTCACTGGGCAGGGCGCGGTTCACTTGCATCCGTGTGTGGACCAGCTCCGTGGGTATGCCCACCAACCCCGCCACACATCCCGCCAATCCAGCCACGATCACCTTATGCAGGCAGTCCACTGGATCGCCCATTTGGTTCTTGCCCATTTCGTATAGATGAAACCGAAGGGATGTGTATGTCAACTGCCTGAGCAATTGGGCACTCAGACCGTCGTACAGGGAAAAGAAACCTAAAAAAGGGGGGTTTTCGAAAGAAACAAATAAAGAAAACTTTGGTTAAGTGCTCCAAATATCTACTAACTACCATGTAGAAAAGAAATATTTTAATACAATAATTTGTATCCCATTATAATAAACTCCATATAATTTTTTTTGTGTTTTAACCCTGATAGCTATCAAAGCATTTTTAAGATACAAAATATCCTAAACTCAAATGAGATATGCAGCTAAATACGACTTTACTAATTCTTGTCTTGCCAATTGTATTGGTAGTTTCAATTTATGATTTACAATTTCCCAATAATTACCATAAGTCCGGATGGCATGTCGCAGACTCGAAGCCATGCCCACATCCTTCTTGATGCTCACCATTCGCGACTCGATCAGGTCAAAGGGCGCCGTAAAAAACTGTGCAATAGCCCCCGCCACTCCACCGCTCCACCAACGTGGAACAATCCTGGAATCGTAAAGTGAAATCTCGTTTAGCTGACATAAAAGGAACTCACTCCGGCTCGATCTTTTCGTCATTGGAGGTGCCGAGGAGTATCGCCAGCTTGCTGATTGTTATTCTATCTGCCACTTTCTCGTCTCACACCTTTCTCTGTTTTTATGTCCATCAATATTTTTTACGACCTTTTTTGGGGACTTTTTTGGCTTGCATTAATTTGACAGTAATGTAAATGTATGTATACTTTTGAATCTTTGGCCAAAACAGTTAGTGTCAGCCACTTAAAGCCTGTGATGAAAATGTTGTCCTTTTCTAGTTTTAGCGACTAATCTTAATCTACTATTTAATTTTTTCCAAGTCAAACAAAAATTTTCATTTGACTTAAAAATAACAGTGGTGCTGTAAATATTATGGATTGTTTCTGATTCGATTTGATACATGAAAATAATTGTCAGGTTTTAAGTTATAAAATAATTCATACTTGCATTGAAAAAAGATTCTTTAAGTTTACTTAAACATCACGGTTGGACATGACATTTGACCATAGTTATGTTTAGCTTTATTTAAATACTTTTAAGAAGTCTGTTAAGTTTTGAAAGTTATTTTGCAATTTGGTTCTTGCATTGTGGGAGAAGGACTTAATTTTCTGAACATTCACCATCTTCTGGGACCGTTTCTGTCGAATCCTGCTGCCATTAACATGAGCACTCCACGTTTTCTAATTGCCGGCCAGGAGTCCGAACTAATTGAGCCCGCTCCTCCTTTTTCCTGCTCCGCAGTTTCCCAACTATCTGCGCGGTGTTCAGGGATGGAATCGAGTGACATCCACCGGCACATCCACATCCACGCAGGTGTTGCAACGTTGTTGAGTAATTTGGCATAGTTTCGTGGCTTCGAATTCGACACTCCCCTCACTTCAGACTGCGTAACTTTCTGGAGTCCCCTCCGATGCTGGCACAGTTGTCATGGCATTATCACGGCCATTAGGCATCAGCCAGCGATGTGAATGTGTACCACCTTGCAATTCGAAATTGGTTGCAACTTTCGGACATATTTGAGGCAAATCTGCGGGGGCGCCGCAGAAAGTTGTTTTCGGTGAGCTAGGAAGTTGGACGACTCGTGGGTAGCATTTTGGACAAGTCGAGTGGCTTTCAAATTGTGGATCCATCTTAAAATTAAAAAGTTATCTACAATAGTTAACTAGTTCAAATTGTGTAGCTGTAGAATTTTAATTGTTTGCGTGATGAATGGTCATAGAAAGAGGCGAAACTTTTGAGATGTTGGCTAGTTATTTCATTTGAGTAGCTATGTAGCTACTTTTTAACATAAGTTATATGTTAAAAAGTAGCTACATAAAAGTAAAACATTAAGTAAAATAATTAAATAAAATTATTATAATTAAATTAAAACAAAGAAAATTATAGTATTTTCTAACATGCGATCATTATTTCCTGAGTTTTTATCTAAAAACCGAAAGTCAAGATGATTTTATCTGAATTTTTAAGTTCAACAAAACGGGTTTTTATGGTCTAACTTATCCAAAATGGGACCCACAGCCAAAAAAACAACTGTTTTGTGCAGCTGAGGACTTACACTACCGATTCAAGGATGATTTGTGAAAATTTATTTTCTGATCGATTTTCACAATTTTTAATAAGGGGTTACATCACGATTTTTGTCGAAAATGGGCCAAAAATAAAGTTTTTAGCTGTGAATGCCAATCGATTGCAAATTTTATTACGAATTCAACAAGGTATGATATTCAAACATTCGACCATTATTTCCTAGGGTTTTGATCAAAAAACCGAAGCTTAAGTTGATTTTTTGGATTCTGACTTTCCAAATAATGTATAAGGACTTTTATGTAACAACTAAGCCAAAATATGCAGCTTTAAAAAATAAACTATTCAAACTATTGATTTAACATAAAACTACTGATTCAATATTTAAACAATATTTAGTTTACTGGAAAAGAATTGAAATAAAATGAAAAATGTATATTAAATATACTTTAATATATTGCTATATTTGTTCGAAGTAAAATGCCCGTTAATCCGAACTGCTTAAATTTCATAAAATAATAAACAAATATTGCTTGCAACTGTAGATAAAGCTATTCAATTGTAAATAGATTGACTCTGTCAAGCACGAACCAATATTCAAACAATGTAATTGTGATAAATGATTAACAAACTGCAGTTTTTTTATGACACATTTTTCAGGGCGAAAAATGGAATCCTCATTAGGCGTCGAAAGCGCAACGCAATCAATCAAGCTCTCGATCAATCAATTCACCATTTATTTTACTGGCCGCAATTTCAGTGCACAATGCCAAATTGCAATTGAAAAAAAAAACAGCTACAAAAATTGCTTCCGCACAAATTTATTTATTTGAATTTTTATGAGGGAGTACTAAAAAATTGATTCATAAATTTATACTGCGCAAATAAACTAACACAATAAGCCATTCCATTATTCTGTCCGCCCATAGATATATCTCAGTCTCAGTTTACAGTTAGTCGTAACTGTAGGGGAAGGGCAGTTAAACTTACGTAGCCCCTACTGCCTTACACACTTTGCCTGCGTCGGCAGAATATTTCTCCTTCTTTATTTCTCTTCGGAATTGTTCTTTTCTTTTCTTGTTTTTATTTCACTGAGCTTTTCAATTTGCGCTTAATGTGAAATAATATATCACGTATGCACTTGCTCAGTCTCCGACTAACTCGCTCTGCAAATTTACTTTTGCAATTTTAATGCCACTCTCTCCTTGAAAGTTTTCCAAATAACGCGTCAATTTGATATGCCTCAACATCGACGGCATGTTCGGCCCTCCTTCGACTCTTTGTTTTTGCCCTGCAATTTTTCTGGTAGCACATATTATTCTGTATGCCCCTCCCCCAACCCCGAAATCATCCTCTGCGTGTCTGTTTGCAAGTATCTTAGGTTATTAGAAAAGTTTGCGGCCTGACTAAGAGGCTACAAAAAGTTGGCAGTCGAAGAAAATTGCATGTTGAAGTTGTTTAGGCCATTTCGGACAGCCGATAAAGGGAAGGCTAAGGCCTGATCTTCGGCTTGCTTTTTTGCATTGATGAAAAGGGTTTTTAAGTCAGCTTCTCAGGTACTAAGAAAGCTTAGAATTAGATGAAATAAATTTAATACCACTGTCTGAAATTATGCTATACTTCTGGAAACAAATTTTGTATATTTCTTAAATAAAAGTATCTTTCTGGTCTAAAAGGTAAATAACTTCTTAATTTATATTTTCATTAGAAAAACAATTTTATATTACTTCTACCTTGCAAGGTTAAAATTTAGTTAAAAAATAGTTTAAGGATTTAAGTTATAATTTTAAAAATCAAATATTGTAATTCGAAATGAAGTTGTCGTGGACAGGCCATTTTGTAAATCAAGTTAAAAGAAACCATTTTAAATATGCAGCATCGTTTCTGTCGATTTCCAGTTGCAGCGCATGCAACAGTCTGTAAAAGTGCGGCCCAGATATCCTCGCCGCAAGTCCCTGCTAAGCCCCATCACTTACCCCCTTGCTTACCCCTTCATCTGCTGGCAAACTTTCGCCAAGTATAACAAACAAGAGCTTGCAACGGCTGTCGATGCCGCTCCGCTCCGCCTCAACCACATGTAATGCAGCTGCAAGCCGACAAACTTGGCAAACTCAGTGAGGAAAACAGGGAAAAGTGTGACAAAGGCGGAAGATTCTATCAAGTTTTTGCCTCATTTTTGTTTTTTTGTCTGCTTTGCCTTTTGTGGCTTGTCTGGTCGTTCTACTCCTGCTGCCCCTTTTTGGCCAATTTTCGTGTTGAACTCTTTTGAGAAATGTTTTTGGCCAAAATATCAACATTGGAACAACTGCAGACAGGGATCACAGGTGGCAAGTGCAAATGACCCAGCAAAGTCCGGTGAAACGGGGGGATCAGGGGGTCAGGGGTTAAAGGGTTGGAGGTCCTTGGTGGAGCGACAATCAACTGGTCAAAGCTGTCGCAGGAGTCGCTCAAAGGATCAGACCCCAAACCGGTCACGAATCGAAGCAACCGGAGCTCTCGCAAAGTGCTACGAAAATTCTAAATTCCATTTTACGATAATGCAACTTGGCAGGAAGCCAAAAAAAAAAACACCTAAAAAAAGTAATGAAAAAACATGGCGAAAGATTGATAGTGCCGGCGAGCCAAGTTGGCCCTTGGTCCGAATAAGGCCAGCATTTTTAGCCCACTCGGGCATCTGGGCAACATGTGCCGTAATAATAATAACAATACAAACACCCAATACAAACTGCTGCGAATTCACTGCAGTTGTTGGCCAAACAAACTGTTCGACACCGAAATAAGATACCACATATTCGAATACTCTGTGAGGGAAATTGTTTTTATGGCTTTATAAAGTTTTACCCTTTGGCTTCACAAATATGTTTTTTAACTTTAGATAACATTTTATCGTATAATTTCAACCATTTAACTTTAAAACCCCAAAATTACTGGCAATCTATTTATATTAGTTATTTAATAAAATAAACAAACTGATGAGTATTTTGCGGAAAAAAGTTTATTTAAACATTTTAAGCCAATCAATAAGCAAATCATTTTATGAGCATGACCAAACAATCATTTAAATTTATTCAGCGGTATTAGAAAGAAAATGATTTTTGCTAATTAAATATTTTTTAAAGAAGAAAATATGAATAATTTTGGTAGTAAAAATGTATAGTTACAATGAGATTACTTTATGCCAATTCTCTTAACATAATAGGCATGAGATTTCTTTAACACATCTTAATCTTTTTGTATAGAAATTTTGTTCAGTACCCCAAATGCAAAATCGGAATACCACTCATAAATATCAACAATTAACTGTAGTTCCTTCCAGGCCCAGACGATCAGGATATCCGCAACCCCAAAAAACATACTAGCCCGCAGAGTGGCGGATATTCCGAAAATGCCCAGACAAGCGCTCGAACCCCGTGGCTCTGGGCATTCAGCGCCGGCAACGTGGCGTATGCGCAATTATCAGGCAACCGCGGCATGGCGAGACATGCAGAAGAGTCGCTGCAGGAGTCGACTTCGAAGCAGCTCTTCCATGCCAGTCCTGCCTTAAGTTCCGCTGTGTTATTTAAAGTTCGCGTTATTAATAAATGCCTCAGTGGGGCAGTCGCTGCGCCTTGCCTTTGGTCTGATATGCAGCGCTTGATTAGTGCAGGGCCTAACTTATGGGGCTTCCATCGGTTCCTGTGCTGGGTGGGCCCTGACTTCCTGCAAATTACTGAGAGTTTTGCTGGGCGCAAAGTTTGGCGCGTTATCGTGGAAAGTTTAATGGAACTATGTCGTGCCGTGCAGCGCCCCCAAAAGCAGGCGGTCCAACTCAGTCAACCCAACCACCCACAATGCCTCAAAACACCACCACCCGTGGGTGCAATGCATCTGTGATGGCGGGAAGCGGGGAGTTTTGGCGTCCGTGTTAAGCCTAGATGGTTTTCTCAGCAGGGCTTCAGCTAATTGCCGAGGACACTCACACATTTGACAGATTTGTTAGCACAAAAATTAGAAGGAAAATTGGGTTGTGCAACTAATGAATTAATTATTGTGGGAGAGATTGGGAAGCGGAAATTAAGCTGATGGGAAATTTCATTAAAAGAGTAAAAGGACAAAACTTTAGAGCTTGAAAAGAAATAAAAAGATACAAATAGCAAAAGAATTTTTTTTAGGTATTTTATTTTTATTTTAAGCAGTTTAACCTTTGAATTAATGTATTATAATATATTTATATTTATGTATTTTTAACTTCTCTACGACTTGGCTTTCAATGAATAACCTTACGAAATGGAAATATCTCTTCAAACTGACTGAGCTAAATTTTTGAAAGATTTTTTTTATTTTTGGCTATCAAAGTTTTAATTTAAGTCTTTCAGTATTAAGTTGAAAGATATATAATTTAACCACATTCTTTGGAAATAATTAATTAAAGTATTCTGACTACAAATAAGTATCATAACAGGAATATACTTATATAGCATGATTAAGGTATAAAGAGAAATCAAAGCAATTCAAATATTATATTAAAAGTTTAATAAAACATCTGGAAATCATTTGATTCAAGGGAAGATACGGATAAATAACCACTGACCAGCAATTACTCTGGCCTACACCAATAATGAAGATGCCGCTCCGATTGTTGACTGCCATCCGGGGGCAGAGTTCCAAGATTCCGAGAGCCCCATCTCGCATCAATGCAATTTAACCCACAATCGATGGTTTATGGTTAGCCAGGGGGCGTGGCCCGTGGCGGGTTATGTCATCGAATGGAGAGCTCGATTGATGACTGACAGCGGACGGGTTGAGTGGCAGGGCACTATTGACTCTCCGCTGTCTGTTTGTAATTATCGGAGGAATATCTGAAATGGTTTTCTGTTGCCTGCAGTTAATGCGCCTTAAATTGTTGCCCCAGGCTAGGAGCAACTTCCTCAAAAAGCATTTAAAATGTTGAAAAAAGCTGAGGCAAGGGGAGACTCCATTTTTTCACCCCGTTTCCTGTTTACAGACATTTAGCAAAGTTTTCCCTTTCAGTCCATGATATGCTACTTAATTACTCTGTGTTTTCCACATTTGTTTGCCTTTAGTTCTGCACAAACAGGGAATACTGCTTACTTACTGCATGTAAATAAAAAAGACTGATATAATTAATGTTTGCCCCGCGTTCTTCATGTAGTTTCAGTTGCCTTCATTAGTAACTTATATCCATATGGTCGGTGTGTAATCCTATTTGTTTTGCTCAGGAGAACACTTGTTGTTCCTTGCAAGAAAATCTCACTAGACAGAAAGCGGAAAATCTGGTCGACTGACAAATGTGATTTTAAACAGACTTTTATGATATTAAATGTAATAATTGTTTTAATTAGTTTTTAATTCTTGTTTGTATTTAAAAAATTTATTAAAAACTGATTTACTGGTATTGATTTTAATAAATAAGCATTAAAAAGTTGTTAGTATATAAGAAAGTATTCACAAATAGTTTTAACCTTCGTACGCCATTTTATAATTTGTAAAAATTAACATAAGCAAATTAGTTCCCAGGTTAACTTGTAGCTAATCGTTAGAATAAAGCTATTAAAGAAGTTCAATTTTTACAAGCAGTCATTATTAGAAAGTACTTTTTCTTACAATTTTAAACAGCTGACTTCTTTTATGAATGCTTTTCAATTAAGTTTGCACCAAATCCCAACCATCAAAGTGATTTTATCCGAAATCACCTTTAAAACCCAACTCCCTTTTACGGTTCCCAAACGAAGAACTAATATATGGCCAGAAAGGCGAAGTATCTTAAAAAAGGACTCCCCTTTGCTTTACCTGCTCCACTATCGCTGCATATCGGATAGCCAGTTAATTTGATTGACATTTATCCGTTTTATTTTAGTGAGTGTGTTTTTATCCAAGGGCCACGGCCACCTCCATATCGATGGCGCGCTGGTGGCATGTGTCTTTGGCCGGGTTCTTTCGCTTGGTCTACACTTGACACAGTGTTTGCACTTTGCGCTGATTTAATCTCTTCGCTGCCTTTGGCTGTGGGTTTGGGATTGGGAGTGGGATTGGGAATGGGAATGGGCGGGCCTGGGACTGTCTGGGCCCCGATTGTGGGATCTGGATAGCATGGCATAGCTAAATGCCCGCCCCTTTCCCCGGAGCTCAATTGGGCGCGTGATAAAGAGCAGGAAAAGATGGAGCAAAGTCTGGGGAAAAAAATGAAAATGGGAGAAAGAAATCCGACTGTTTGCCTTTGGTCTCTAGGTGTCTTCATGGCAGATTCCATTTGAAGAGTGCGGGCGGGAAAAAAGAAGAACCGAAGGGAAAAATTATTGAACATCTGATGCAGTTATGATAATGTCAAAGCATTTCCACTCAAGTGACAGTTTGGCTAGATTTCGATTATGACAGGCAAATGGAAGAGTTATTGCAAATTAATGCAAACCCTTCGAGTGGGCTGACATCGATTTGGGTCAGTAATTGTTGAATGAGAAATGCAAGTTTTCATCTTTAATGGGCAAACTTTCCGAGATTGATGAAATATTTAATAGCTTTTGAGGGTGCAAGAAAGTATTTCAGTCACTAAGAATACATTTTTGGCTAAATTTCCCCACTAAATTATAACTATACAATACTATCTAGTAAATCATAAAAACTACAAAGGAATTGTTTAGATGTTTCCTTTTTATTGAAACTAGGCAACACGCCCATAATCCACAGCCCATATACATACTAGTACGCGAACAATGTGCCTTATATATTGTGTACAATTGGTTATATTTTATTTCTGGGCTGACCAACTTGCGTGGTCCAAACAATATTTATAATAATTTACAGAATTTATGTGTAAACTTTTTTATGTGTTTGTGCCACAGTCGCAGTTAATTTGGCAAAGTTTTGCGGCTTGTTCGGCGGTCAATTGTGTAATTTGTGTATTTATATCTACAAGCTTAGGGGTGGCTACTTGCTCTACCCAGGGTAAGTAATTTGCATTTTCCACCTGAACACTTTAATATAAAGAGCTGAAAGGAACTTTGAATTTATATGAATTTAGACAATTCCGTACCTACCTTTGTTATAAGTATAAAGATGAAAACAAAGTGCTGAATTTAAATAAAACCACACAAAGAGTTTAACTTAAGTATATTAGTGACACACACATTTTATTTATTGAATTACAACAAAAAAACTTGTGAATACTAATCAAATTTGAAATTTATAACTTAATTTATTTCAATCTAATGGAGCTATGATTAGTTAAACAAAATGTTCTATATAAAATTAAATCAATATTAAATTTAAAGAAGATATAACACATTTTAGACCACACCTTTCCACAGTTTAAGCTCCGATAAACGACAGTGATACCTGGTGTATATGCACCGTTGGATAAGTGTCAGTCTAGGCAAATTGCTGATACGTATACTCCCTATTTTAGGCGAGTAGTGTAGGGGGCGTGGCTGTGGCCATAAAAGGCCTGGGCTATAATTTAAGCCGGCAACGTGTTATCAGACTTAATATGTAATACATTCTGGTGGTCAGTCGGGATTGGTGTGTGTTTTGGGGGAGCACCAAGTGCTGCACAAAGTTGGCCAAAACAATGGATCCCCTCGCCCTATTGTTTCGGATTTAACCCTACGCTCGAGTGTTTGTGTGCTCGGCCGATTTGGCCCTTTTGTTTTGGCTTATTGTTTTTGAAATGCACATAAAATGCGTTTTGCTTTTGTCCTCTGTATTCCAATGCAAGCGTTTGAGACTCATATTTTATTGATAGGTGGCAGGGTGTTCCCTGGTTTTGGGTGAAAAATACCAGTACATTCGCATTTTGTGGCTCAACCAAATAACAAAATGAGCTTAATCCGGGGAACCCGATTTAAGCCGCTTATATTTGTTTTATCTTCAATAAACCACAGTAATGCACAATGTAAATTTTAGTATTTAGAAAATTATGAAATGTAAAAGTTGTTTTGAATAATTATCAAAAAATATAAAATTATCTTACTAAGTTTTCGGACCAGTGTAATAAATAATGTTTTCTATCCTTTAGCACTTAAATTGACACACTTAAACTTATCTGTCTGCTAAAGGCTAATTCATTAGAAGGCTAATTGTGTTCAAACTGATTATAAACAAATTGAACTGACCCGATATCAAGAGCAAAGATAACGTTGTTAAAAGGCACTGTCATTCGTGGCCAAAACAAATGACAAAGTGAGTTTACTCCGGGGAACTCAATTTAAGACGCTTATTTTTATTTTATCTATAATAAGCCAAAGCAATGCATAAAGTAAGTTTTAGTATTTGGAAAAATATGAATTGTAAAAATAGTTTTAGAATTAAGCTTATATTTTATTAACTTTTTTCACAGTTCTCTTTACATTTGAAATAAATAATGAAAGGTAGTGGAAGAATAATTCTCAAATTCTCATAAAATTACCTTACTAAGCCTTCGGCGCAGTGTAATAGATAATGATTTATTTTTTTTAGCATTTAAGCATTATAAGCACAATTAACTGACCCGATCTCAAGAGCAAAGCTTTCACAATAACCTAAAAGATAACGTTAAAAAGCACTCTCATTTGTTGCCAAAACTTGTGTAATTACTCAAAAGCTCTTTATGAAGTTTTCTTGTTTAGTTGTTTACCTTTCAGAAAGTCATTCTAAAGAGTGATCTTGACGATGTTGCGTCGTACAATGAAGTATAGCTGGAGGGCTAGCTCCCAATTGGCTGCTACTAAAGCTCCAGAATCCACCTCTTACGTTCAGCAGGTTTCGGATTCGGAATGGGAATCTGCAAAACCCTTTTCAGAAATTCCCGGACCGACACGGTGGCAATTATTTCGAGGATATCAAAAGGGCGGTCAGTACCATCAACTGGCAATGGATGAATTGGTGGCACTATACAGAAAGCAGTTCGGCGACATATGCTTGGTACCAGGATTATTCGGCATGCCCTCAACTGTGTTTACATTCAATGCGGAAACCTTCGAGAGGGTTTATCGGACCGAAGGACAGTGGCCCGTGAGACGTGGCGCCGAACCTGTCCTCCACTACCGCGATAAAAGAAAGGATGGCTTCTTCAAGGACGGCGTGGGCTTGTTCGAAAAGTGAGTAAAAGGCAAAGGGGAGATAGAGGACTAATTGGTCCAAGTTGTACCACATTTGATTGTTCAAGATTTGCTTGATTAATTTTTTTTTTATTTTAAAATTAACTTTATGTATCAAAATAATTTTTAATTCTGAAATTAGTACACATTTTTACTCCGCAAATAATACAAAGATCTAACTCCACACACATTTTAGATCCTTAAATATGTTACATTTAAAAATACATTTTTTGCTTTCACATCCGTGTATAATATAAAATTAAAATAAATAAATTATCCAATATTGTTTCCATTTGTAAATCGAATTTACTTAAATGTTATATAATATAAATACATATGTGTAAATTGCTCAGACCGATAAGATTAGAATGACCTTGAGCTTACAATTGAAATTGATACAAATTTGAATTCACTGAACATTTTTGGTCCATTTCAGTGGCCCCCAGTGGGCAAAGCTGCGGAGTGCAGTGAATCCCATCCTGATGAAACATGGGAATGTGGCTGTTTACCTGAAGCCGATGCAACGGGTAAATCGTCAGTTTATCGATCGCATCCGCCAGTTGCGCGATAAGGATTCCGAAGAAGTTCCCGGCGACTTTCAAAGTACCATCAGCCAGCTGACCTTCGAGTCCGTAGCGACGGTGGCCCTAGACAAGGAAATGGGACTCCTCCGGGAAACCATTCAGCCGCCGGAGGCCAGGAAACTATTCCAGAATATTGAGATTCTAATGGACTCGTTTTTTGTTCTAGGCGTCAAACCCTCAGTTTACAAGTATATTTCCACACCCACTTATAGGAAGTTCAGTCGGGCCATGGATGAAATCTTTGATACCTGTTCGAAGTACGTGAATGAGGCGATAGAAAGGATCGACAATAAGACGGAGCAAGGTCAGGGCTCAAAGGATCATAAGAGCGTTCTGGAGCAGTTGCTGCAAATCGATAGGAAATTTGCCACTGTTTTGGCCATGGATATGCTGATGGGAGGAGTGGATACCACTGCCTCGGCCTTAGTGGGATTAATATTAAACCTAGCCAAAAATCCAGAGAAGCAGAATAAGCTTAGGGAAGAAATATTAACCAAATTGCCTTCAACAGATAAAGATTTCACTTTAGAGGATATGAAATCACTGCCGTATTTGAGGGCCTGCATCAAGGAATCGATGCGTTTGTATCCAGTCGCCTTTGCAAATCTCCGATCTGCCGGTACAGATGTTGTTTTGAATGGCTATCGGATCCCCAAGGGAACGGATCTAATTATGAACAACACCTTTTTACTGAGAGATGAGCGGTTATATCCCCAGGCTAACAAATTTCTCCCAGAACGATGGCTGCGTCGAAAAGATGAAGATGATATCCTGATGAACAAGAATTCCAATCCTTTTATCTACTTGCCCTTTGGTTTCGGACCACGCATGTGCGTCGGCAAGAGAATAGTGGATCTAGAGCTTGAATTAACAGCGTCCAACTTGGTGCGAAATTTCCAGATAGAATATAATTACCCCACGGACAAGCCATTTAAGTGCTCATTCCTGTATACGCCTAATATTCCCCTTAATTTTAAGTTTAGCGATGTCAAATATTAAAACAGATATTTCTAAATAAAGCATATTGATTATTATTACTTTTTTAATATTTATCTACTTGGGCTTTGGATTTCCCATTTTTAGAAAACTTAACTTAATAGTTAAGGCTCAATCAAAATATTTTTAATTAAGACTTAACAGTAAGCTTTAAAAGTAACGGCCAAATTTGAATATTTAACAGCACCAATTTTAGCGACGAACAGCACTGTATTCAGAGGAACAGCTGTTAAGTGGGTATTCCCCACGCCTGGTCACACCAATTCTGACAAACAGAAGTGATTCATACCAAAAAAACAACGTAAATTGATAAAATTAATCAGTTCAGGCTGCAAACCAACTGCCAGAAACTCTTTCGGTTCTTCATTCTCTATAGTAAAGCCATCAAACTGGGTAACGACATGTCTACGAGTAATATGGAAAGTAAGTGGATGAGGGCGATGACGCCAGACAAAGAATTTGCAATCACACACACCTTTATTTTGCTTCCGTAGAACATCTTTTCAATTTAAAGTTTGCTGTGAAGGAGCTGGAGCGCAACTCCAAAAAATGCGAAAAGGAGGAGAAGCTAGAGAAGGTCAAGGCCAAGAAGGCGATCCAGAAGGGCAACATGGACGTGGCCCGCATCCACGCAGAGAACGCCATCCGCCAGAAAAACCAGGCTGTTAACTATCTCCGTATGAGTGCCCGTGTGGATGCGGTGGCCAGCAGAGTCCAGTCCGCTCTCACCACACGTAAAGTCACCGGTTCCATGGCCGGCGTGGTCAAGGCAATGGACGCGGCCATGAAGGGCATGAATCTGGAGAAGATCTCCTCGCTAATGGAGAAGTTCGAGTCGCAGTTCGAGGACCTGGACGTCCAGAGCTCCGTGATGGAGGGCACAATGTCCGACACGGTAACCACATCGGTGCCCCAAGGCGACGTTGACAATCTGCTCCAGCAAGTGGCCGACGAGGCTGGCCTCGAGCTTAACATGGAGCTTCCCAGCGGAGTGCAGAGCCAGACGGTTGGAGCTTCGACGGCCGTGTCCCAGGAGCAGGACGAGCTCACCCAGCGACTGGCGCGCCTCCGCCAGGCTGAATAAATCAAGCGAAGCCCTGCCGTTGAATTTCTCTGTTTTACTAATTAAGTACATAACAAATATATATAAGTATAAAACCAGTGAGTCAGAATGCTTCGCTTTTGCATGCTTCAATACATAAAGGAACTAAGAGGTAACCCAAAAATACCGACTCGCTTTTTAAAAAAAGTTGTTTAAAGCTATTCAAGTTTCGTATAGCTTGTCAGGTCCGCGTAGTTACATATACTATAGTATACAGGGATGTCACCGAATCTCTAGATGTTTATGTATGTAAATGTGATTTTTCAACATAAATGATTTCAAATTAATTGTGTATTTCACTTAATGATGATTTTTAATTGATTTTTGTGACGTCCTTTATTTTTGCTTTTTATGTTTAAAGTGGCTTTCGTTTTCTTAATAAAATAGTAAATGTATTAGCCTTTATTCTTAAAAATAGGATGTGCCAGAGAATCGCTAGATTTCAGGTACCCAATTGTGGTTGCGGATGAGGAGGCGGGATGATTGTATTGAGATTGGTCGGTGGCTGCTTGGCACGCTGCTTTCGAGGCTTACGGGCCGTGGAAGGATTGGATCCAGGTGTTGATCCGGGGACTTCCGTTCCATCCGCCGCCTGTTTGTTTTTGGGCTTGGGTCCTCGGCGTTTCTGCTCCGTTTTGCCTTTGGGATGAGGTGCCACCATGGGAACTGATCGCCAATTGTCTCCGTGCTTGTCCAGTCGCTTTTTCAGCAGCTCCACATCGTGATTGCGCCGTCTCACTATCTTTTTGATGCCGTTTACCCTGGAAAATTATTAATGCACATGTTTGTTTACCTTTCACAGAGCACCGATTTTGCTACTTACCTCATCACACAGCGCTCATTTTCCGCCTGGATCCTCTGGCATTTGTCATACAGCTTCTCCGCCAGTTGTTTGTAAATGAGCGTCTTTTTATTAAGCAACATTTTATACAGATATTGGTTAATCTTTATTTATTTACGGGTTGAAAGCCATGGTTGAGTGTGACCAGATAGAGACACTCGTATTTGTTCGGTTGGGTTAATCAAGCGATGCCAGATCTGGTTTATTTAAAAATAAACTAGCTTACCCCGATTTGGTAACGGTTAACCAATATACATACGAGAAATAAGATAGGAATTAAAAATAGTTGTTTAAAATGTATACAATTCATACAATTCTACTAAATTTTGTTCATTTCGAGTTATTTCTTTGGAACTAGTTCCCTTTGTCGTTAGCCTGCAACCATCTGGCAACTCTTAAACTTTGCAAACAGCCGTGTAGAATAAACAAATCGACAATTTTAATTTATTTCATCAACAACAACCGGCATGCCAAACAAATCTTCCAAAGCAGACGGGAAGTAACCAGCTAATATTGTACTTGCACCAAATATTATGTCCGTAAATGCAAGTGCAGCCAGCATGCCAACAACAACAACTCCGGGAGCCCAGGGATCGGGAAATCAGATTCCCACAACCAGCACTTCCATTGTAAACAACTTCAGGGAGCTGATCAAGGAGCCGAAGAATCTCGACGAGGCGGCCAACTACCTATACCAAACGCTGCTCGATGACGCCGTGGCCGGGATCTTCATCGAGACACATCACCTGCGAAAGTCGGGCAACCTGGCCGCCCTGGATGGAGTGCCGGAGGACTCGACGTATCGCATCTGCGAGATGCCCAACCTGGACATATTCGGCATCTCGACGGCCAAGAAGCCGATGGATTGCACCTGTCCCAACTGTGATCGTCTAGTGGCAGCCGCCCGCTTCGCTCCGCACCTGGAAAAGTGCATGGGCATGGGCCGGATATCGTCGCGAATCGCATCCCGCCGCCTGGCCACCAAAGAGGGTGCCTCCTCAGCCCACCTGCACTCCTCCGGAAATGCCGGGGGCACAGACGACGAGGATGACGTGGACTGGTCGTCTGATAAGCGCCGAAAGAAATCCAACCAGAACTCCCGCAACAATGGATCCAAAAAGAACAATGGCAAAACGTTTTAGCTTGTTGTAATTAAATCGATTGGTGCGTAATTTGCCATAAAAGAAGACTTCTTTGTCAATCCAAGATGTTTTCTATATTCAATGATATGACTAAAGTAATGGGGCATTTAAGCGTAAGCGTAAACCGCTGTTCCTGTTAACAATATTATCCATCTGAATGGGGATCAATAGTCAACATGAGCCGATCCTGTAGCTTTTATAGTGCTTGTTCGAATAAATATTACTAGAATCCTTACTTTCCCAATTAAATTAGAACAAATTTGACAAAGTAAAACAGTCTATTTTAAAAAGCTTATGTATTTAAATACTCATGTTTATTTTCCGTTCTTAGCGGAGTCGCTATTGTTCTTGGACACTTCTTCAAATTTTTGTTTTTTTTGGGGTTAGTGTTAGAAAAGGGCTTTTATCTCATCTCCAGGACATCGTCATTAAAATTTACATTTCTACCAGCTTTTAATCCCAAGACTAGATCACACTGAATAGGTATAATTTCCTAAAAACTCCCTAATAGCCCAGGTATGTCGAACTTTTAATAAAAGACAGGACACTTGTCTCCTCCGTACTTAGTGGAAAACAAAACTGATCGAATGCAATCATCTTCTAAAATGTTGTTTACTTAATTTGTTAAGATCAAAAACTCTTTAGGTTCCTTTCACCTGGCAGCGATACCCATATCCACGGATCGTTTTTATTCACATTCACCAGCGACTGGGGCACCTGAAAGGATTCGAAACCGATCACCAGGCTCGCCATAAATGCTAAAAATAGTTTCATCTCCATCGTTTCAGATTTGCGAGTAGACTGAAGCACTCGTGTTTTCTAAATTCCTCTCAGAGCTTTATTCGCGATAAGATTCTGGCTGGCACATTTTTATAAATACACTCTTATGTATACGTCTATAAATCTGGGGATTATCAATTTGCGAAGACGCGTATGTAATCGATTTTCAGGGAGGGCTGCTTCCACGTTGTCATCCACTGTTCTTGAGCCTGATGAAACTGAAGCTTTGCCTGTGGGTGGTAGTTTTTCCAAGGTTTTTCATAATTGGAGGTGCGCAGATTGTCCACAAAGTCGCCAAACCCGCCCACAGAGAGACCTAAAGATATGTAGAACTATCGAGATACAATTTAAATTAAATTTCTTATGAAAACCAAAATAGCTTCTTAATCTTGTACTTACCATCCTGTCGAATGGTGCCATGGGACTGCCCTGCTTCCACCTGGGATTCAGTTCCAGTTCCGTAAATCCGTTTAACGTCTCCCCATAGATCTGCCCATCCACCGAGAACAAAAGTCGGCTACTGCTCCAGTCCAAACTGTAGACGTGAAAGTCATCACCAAAATGGGATTTCCTACGCTGGCTCAGCCACAAGTCCTCCCGTTGATGGGCATCCGTCGAGAGTACGGGTCCACCGTATACCGACCTGCCATCCACGAGTTTTCCGCGGGGCATCCTCAGCACAGAGTTGCCCCTGGCCATTGCCACTCGCAGTTGTCCAGATTCGTAGCCCGATTGTCCGTACCACTCCGTCAGGGGTTCCAGCAGCAGAAGCGGTACAATCCAATCTCCTTTCGGTAGTTTGGCCCGTATCTCAATCCGTCCATATTGGAAGGCAAAGGTCTCCTTGGTGCCAACACGAGGGGTCACAATGGGTGGCATTATTCCACTGGGCCCACTGCCTGTCGTGTGCAGCATACACTCCTTGAGGCGGTTGTGGGTTCCCGTACAGCGTTCCGAGAGATCGAGTCTGGAATTGACTATGGACAAATCGGGGCGATAGCTGGACCAAAGAAGTGGCTCAATCACCAGGTTGCCATCTTCAACCTTAGCTTTTCCATCATATAAGACAAATTCGGCATCCTTGGAGTCCAGGGGTAAGCGAACCTCGTGAATCCACAGAGATTCATTAAGCTGATTAAAGTTCTCCTCAAAGAGGAGTTGTCCCTTGCAGATTGGAACACTGATCTGTGGCGAAACCTGAGTTTCAGAAGGTTCACACACAGCGGGAGCTGAAGATTCCGAAACATTCCCTTCAGTGCTTAGTTGATTGTCATCGGAGAAATCCTCATCATCAGGGGAACATCCTTTGGGCCGATAATTTCCAGCTAGATTGCAGACATTCAAGGGCTGTACTAGAGACTGGTATACAGCCTTCTCATGCTGCACACTCGTCCAAAGATATAGAATATCTCGGGCCCTCAAAGGCCCCGAACTGAAGTTACTCCTCCATTGGCCATTCTGGGGTTCTGTTAGCCTCACGTTATATTGTCCCTCGTTGATAAACGAAGTGAAATTCCGATTGCGGTTCACATTATAGGCCACCACTCTAACACCCTCCTCATCTAAGTATATATTCAAAAAGAAAAGAAACCAGAATTATTAGGCAAGTCTCCGTTTAATGAAATAAACCTTGACTTTTCAACATCAATTGCTTTATTTTTTTTCCAGAAGCACAAGGAAAAGAAAAAGAGTAGGAGGTTCAAGAATGTTCACCTCTTATTTACCTGGAATGGAAATGCTGAAACCATTTTCTTGGAGCTCCACTCTAGGCTCAGGAATCTTGTAGGAATTGGTGTATCCCAGACCTAACAAAAGGACTATTCCAATGCACAATCCTAGCATTTTGAATCCTCGATCTCAGCACTAATGTCCAAGAATCCGAAGCCTCTGACTCAGTCTGTTTCTCTATCTCACTGGCAGACCGGTTTCTGCCGCTGGTGCTGGGCGATTAATATTTGTTTACTTTAAGTTGGTCCGGACAATCGCGATTTGGCGAATGCAAATTCGTATTCATATCAGCTCCGGCTTCGATCTGGCTTCTCTGGAAACTAAACATTTTATAGGCTGCCAATGGACCCCGAAACCTTAGTTTTAACAATAATCATCTTAGGGATCCCCCTTCGATTGAAAGCTTTAAACAGCTGATGCGATAACAAAAGCTTGACTTACACTCTTAAAACATTGGAGGCTTTCCAAATTTAGATTTTTTAAGAACCTACATATACTATATTTGAAAATGTATTTTTTTTAAAACTTAGATGGTTTTTTTCCGTTGGAAAAAAATGTGGTTGCACTTTTTCTGTGGTGTTTTGAAAACATGAAAAACATTTATCTTACACAACTTGATTTAAATATGTATCTTAATTTCAGATTTAAAAAAAGACACTACAAAACTACAAATTTAATCTAGATTTTCTACGAAAACTTTTTTTTCTTATAATTATTTTTATTTTAAGCAATTTTTTTAAGTACATTAAACAGTTTGATATGAGCGCAGCTGCGATCAAGGGGAGCTTCAATCGGGCAAGCTTTCAAGATCAAGATTTTCAATCTGATGCAGCAGTCCCACCGCAGATCTTCTCAGAATAAAACGTTAATCGGATTCTAGTTAGTACATATACTAAGAGAAATTAAAACTGCGCCATGAGGTGCAAAACGCTCTCATGCTTGTTATTACTAATTTCAAGCTATGCTACCTTGGGTTTTAAGATACCTAGCATTGATTTCGAAATGCTAGATGAACAAGGATTCGAGGTGTCCATACCAGGTGAAGATAACATAATTTTTATCATTGGATTTTTAACACCTTCATTGCTAATATGTTTAGTTAGGTTAGTCATATTGACAAAGCTGTTATGGGTAATCCCTCAGAACAAACGGGTTCAACTTTAAAATAACAGAATTACATTTGTTCAAAATTTAAATAAACACATATAGGTAATTGATATTACAAAATGTTTATCTAATTCAATTTATATTAATACAGCTTATTAAAAGTTAAAGTCATAATAAATTAACACTTATTTAATACGAGTAATGGTTAAATCGTATTATTCTTTAATCGTATTATTCTAGAAGCAAAAGAAAATGTATGTATACATACATTGGGATGAAAGTCCATTTAAAAAAAAATACACATCTTTCCAGATGAGCCTGGCATTCAGCGGGTGTTCTACATGCTCCAAATAGACGACACCTGTCCGGCCTTAATGGACTATATTACGGTGGCAGTAAATGGGAGCTGGGTTTCCAGACAGAAGATGAGTCTCCAGAACAACGACAAGCTTCAGATATCATTGCTGGTGCAGTATAACGAGGAGATCTTCGAGAAGAGTGAAACTAGGGTGATTCTTAACAAGCGGCTACTGACCACCAGGGACTCCAACTCGCGGAGCATTAGTTTTCCCTCGGGAGAGGGTGAATGTCAGGCATTCCTCGCTCCGCAGCAGCAAGCCAAACGCTGCAAGCCAGCCCAAACCATCGTGGGCAGTGGACGCCGCACCTGCCAGGGTGAACTCATCTTCGAGGACAACTTTTCGGAGGCGCAACTGAACAAGAGTACCTGGAAGCACGATATCCGGTATGAAGAATCAGTCATATTCATGGGTTTAATTTGTCTAAGTAATATTATTAAATTTGTAGGCAACGCATGTATCACGTAGAGGAGGAGCTTGTGGCCTTCGACGATGCCGCTCGTAACTCCTTTGTAAAAGAGGGAGAACTCCATATAGTTCCCATCGTGGCCAGTGAGGTTACCGAGGGCAGTTTCAAGCTGGGAGATCGCTGTACGGCCGTCGAAAGCCCGGATCAGGAGTGCAATGTTGCCCAGGGAAGCTTCTACAGCATTAAACCTCCAGTTTTCTCCGCCCAAATTCACACTCGAGATTCGTTTAGTTTCAAGTTCGGCAAGATAGTGGTGCGAGCCAAATTACCTAAGGGGGATTGGCTTTTTCCCTGTAAGTACAATTTATATTTCCTATAATTCACAAATTTTTATATAGATTGATTTAAATTATTTATTTATTTTAAGATTTGATGCTCCAACCTGTTTCCACATACGCGGAGACGCACTATGCTAAACAGTTGCGTAAGTTTTAGATACAAAATAATTAAATATAAAAAAGTTATACAAAAATCTACAGTTTCACTAATCATAGTAATGCTGAAATCCTAGTATTCCAACTTCTGCTCTTTGTTTGTAGATATGTATTATGATGTATTAACAATTTTAAAATAAGTCAGTCGTACTATTTAATTTTTGCTTAAAACTCCTTCTTTTCCTGTCTATTTAATTTCTTTCTATTTCTCACTTTTAGGTATTGCCTACGCCCGGGGTAATGCTTATTTACGCACCAAACAAGGAGATGATATCTCAGGAAACCATCTGTATGGCGGTGGTGTTGTTTGGCATCATGGGAACCCCGTTCAGTTCATCAAGGATCGATTGAGCACGACCCACTATGGTGATGATTTTCACAACTATACCATGATCTGGCAAAGGGATAAAATTACCTTGATGGTGGATGATGAGGTTTACGGAGAGCTGTACGATGGATTGCCATTCTTCAGCGAGAAGTGCTTTATAATATTTGGTGTAACAGTGGGAGGTTTCCTTAATTTTGATGACAGCCTATTGGCGAAGGATGTGAAGCCTTATAAAAACAAGGAACCTCGGGCTGCACTCTCCTTTTGGCAACACCGTGATGCTTGGGCGCCCACTTGGGGCAGGCAAAGCGCCATGATTATAGATTATGTGAGGGTTTATGCGGAGTAATTTTTGTTAATTGTGGTATTCGAAAATAGTTAGTTAACAGAAACACTTGTAGTCACTTATCAAGTTTTTTATAATATTCGTTAAAATAAAAATACTATGGGCAAGAATTTGGTTTCCCCTTGAAGTATATTAGTGTTTTATCCATTAGCATCAACATCTAATTCGATTAAAATGTCAAGAGAACAGGTTTATCAAATTGGAAACATTTTTTATTATTTTATACACAGGTGTGAAATCAGTTTCGGCTTAAATTTTGTTAGAAGAGAATTCTGGGACACCCCGACTGACTAATTACTTATTGATCATCACTTTAAAAATTTATAAGTCTAACCTTGCGAAAGCTAGCACTTATTTATTTACTTTTACATAATGGTAAATGTACATTTTTTAGACAGGGAACATCCTTCAGATGTACAAATAATTAAAAAATAGTTATTGATTCTTAAACCGTTCCTGATCGAAATTCATCAACAGGTGCTCTATTTTGAAACGAACAACTCTGGTGATTTGCAAATAATTACAAACAATAGTTTTTTGAATATGTTAAAAAATAGAATGACCCCTTGCTCCACTTTCCATTGTTTCAGCGTTCGGGCCACACAAATTTTCGCGCCATTAGTCTGGTATATTTCCCTGGCCTTTTGGTATTTATGTGCCCATTCCTTTTTGTATATTCGACCGACCCCGCCGCGGTCACACTGGCTGTCATCGTTTTTGCCTGCTCGTTTTGCGGAGTGTTTTTTTCCCCGAGACAAGCGAACTGGACTGGGAAACAGCAGCAGCAGCCGTTTAAATATCATTCCCCATTTCGAGCTAAATACGTCGTTAAGCCAACAAGGAAGAACACAACGGCGCACCATGCCTTCGGCTGCTAATACCGCTTCTGCTACCACTACCGCTACCGCTGCAACTGCCACCAACAACAACAGCGGCGCTAGCAAGGAGAAGCGCTCCTCAATCAGTTCGCTGGGCGGATCGGGAGTTGCGGGAGCCGCTACCAATGGCCAGAACAACAACAGCGGCAGCATCGGCGGCAATTTAAATGCGACGGAGGGCAGCCAAACGGATCTGGCCAACAGCAGCAACAACAATGCGAGCAATGGAAACGCTGCCAAATCGAAGGCAACCGCTCCGGAACCGTATAATCCGCTCAAGCAGCTGCTGGTCACCATTGAGCACAAGATCCGAAATCTGGAGAAGCGCAAGGTCAGTATAGAATATCAGTGGACTAAAGCCACCTGAATCGCACAAAGGATCTCTTTTTTCGGCAGCATGGCCCACCATTTTTATTTTCATTCTCTCCGTGTTGCTTTGTTTCGTTTTGCGCGCACCCCGCAAACCCCTGCCCCACCCCTTGCCCTAAGTTTTCGGGGCTGGCAGATTTTTCGCGACGCCATGTTTTCTAGCGCACAGCGTTGCCGGATCGCAAGCAGCGGCCGGCATGTCACATAGAACCAATCGCAAATAATCTTGCTGGCGTCTTAAGTTTTTTGCTATTATTTCTCTTGGCAGGCTGTCAGTGATTAAATTATTTGGGTTATTAACCACTTTGTTACTGGAAAGTTCTGGACTCGAATCGCGCCTACAACAGCTGAGTGACTTATTGCAGTCTGGCATCTCTGGCTCAAATGCAAAAGTTGTAATTTTTTTTATTTTGTTTTTTACTTCCGGAATTCTATTAACTAACAATTATCTATGTATGCCAGCTTATCAAAACACATTTTATGACCAAGGTCATTAGTCATAGCAAATGTTTATTATGCCATAAATTTGTAGATATATTTAAATTCATATTAAATTGTCAAGCGATTCGGGCTCTAATCTTTAACAAAAAATTTTTAAAAATAAATCAAATGTTTAAAATGTAGCTAATAAAGGTAATAGTTTGCGGATTTAATTTATAAGACTGCGTCTGGAAGATCTGGATTAATTGCTTAAGCAGCAAAACCAAAATCGAGACTGACTTGCTAATTTCTCTAATTTTAACAGACCAAATTGGAGTCCTATCGCGCCATACAGAGCAGCGGCAAGGAACTGAGTGGCGACCAGGCTTCGGCCGTGGCCAAATACGACGCGGTTTTGGCCAATCTGGAGTTTGCCCGCGAGCTGGCCAAGCATATTCAGCAGCAGTCCAAGGAGGCCGAAAAGGAGCAGAAGAAGCAGGCGCGAAAGGTAAACTTCTTGACTGTATATCTTCCGATGATGCTAAGGGTATTCATTTCTATCAAAGGACAACCTGGCAAAGACGATTGCTGAGACGACCAAGATTCGCGAAGTTCTGATTATCCAGAACGTGATCAACTGCTTTAACGACGAACAAGTTCGCAACGATTTCCTGGCCGGTGAGAACGGAGCGACAAAGTTGGACAGCAGCGATCTGGATGTGCTGGAGAAGTTGTAAGTTTTTCACCGACAAATATTGTTAGTTTTATGTTGGTTTAATAAGTATTAAACTAGGAACTCAAAAGATTTTCATGATTTCGTATAAAAAAGTAAAGTACATTACTCTGAAAATTTTCCCTGGTCATTTTTTCTAGAAGTTAAACCAAGGTATAATGTTTTAGTCTTTTAAAAGCCCAATTACTGCTTAAATGAAAACCAGACGAACTGTAATGATTGATATTTTTTCCAGCTGCGTGGAGTCGCAAACCCGACGCCCGGAAACCGCCGACGATGTAAGCTTCATTACCACTGCCCAAAAGTCTGCTGAACTGTTTTCTTCGACCATCAATGCGCGTCCCAAATCTTTTGGCGAGATGACCTTCGAGAAAGTGCGAGCTCTCTTCCAGCAGATCCAGGACTGCGGCTACTTGGACAAGTACTACCTGGTGCCTCTGGCCGAGAACGCGGTGGCCAACAGCACGGATAGTGGAACCGGTAGCGGCGATGGCGAGGGCGGTGACTTGTTGATCGATGGCTCTGGCGAACTGGACACGGAACTGCCTTCGGAGCCGTCGGCTCGCAATTCGTTGGAGGAGGGACTGGACAAGCTGCATCTGGGAGTGCAAACGGAACTGGAGCAGCATCCACAGCACCAGCAACACCAGGAGCGTCCGGGTCATCATCTGTTGGAGCAGCAGCACCAGCGAGCTCCTTCTTTGGAACATCAGCAGCAACCAACCTTGGTGGTGCAGCAACAACAACAGCAGCAGCCGCCGCAGCCAATACCGCAGGTTTACCAGGCAGCACCTCCTGCTGGAGGAACCACCACGCCAGTGCATGTTCTGTACGCTCCAGCGCCGCCTCCCCAGCAGCAGCAGCCCCAACAGCCGCCGCCGCATCCTCACCAGCTGTTGAGCAGCCCCGTGAGTCTCCAGGCCTTGCAGTCGGGAGCCGCAGCTCCACCACCGCAACAACAGCAGCAGCCGCATCCAACTCACTTCGCTCCAAATGTGCGGGCCGTAGAGCAGAATTACTTCAAACAGCCGCCGCCGCATCCGCAGGCTCCTGGACTGCAGGGACCACCAACGCCACAGCAGCAGCAATTTATGCAGCAGTTGCGTCCTTTGGCGGAGGTATTGGGCACAGGAAGCTTCCACTTTCTGCAGGACAGTGAACTGGACAATCCTGAGGCCTTGGCCCCACCGCCTCCGACCAATCAAGGATTGGTGTTTGAGCAACAGCCGCAGCAGCCTAACCATGTCGAAGAACCACCGCAGGCCATACAAACGCTGACCTTCACCAATCAATCGTTCCCATCGCAGCAGCCCAAACCGCAACAGCAGGCTCCTCCCCAGCAGCAGCTGTTCTCCCCAGTTCTGATCCACGAACAACGCCAGCAGCAACCGCAGCAGCAGCCGCAACCCATGCTTATTATGCCGCGCCTGCCAACCCAACAGCCTCAGCAGCCAGCTCCTCAGGGAATCGGCATGCAGCCAGGCGATGTGACCTCAGTTTTTCCGTACGAAGCTGCTGTGGTTACCTATGAACAGCAGATCCAGCAGCAGCTGAAGCAGCAACAACAGCAGCAGCAACAACAACAACAACAACAGCAGCAGCAACAGCAGTTGGAAGAGCCCTCACCTGTGAACACCTCTTCCAGTGCAGGTGCTGGTGGCGATGTGGAGAATAATGAATGGCATGCCCGTACTAACGATACGAATGCTGCAGCCACAGCTGCGCTTACGAATGTGCTTAAGGGCGAGGCCACGCCGCCGGCACCGCCCACCAAGTGGAGCTCGGAGATGAATGCCATGAGCAGTGCCGCCTCGAATGGCAGCAGCAACACGAGTCACAAGCAGGAGTGGGCCACACCCAGGGACCACAGCGCTGGCGGTGGCAATGGAGGTTATGCGGACAACGATGGCAACAACCACTGGAACAGCTCACAAGGGGAGGGACGTCGCAACTCCGGCAATTATCAGCGACGTGGTGGAGATCGGGATAACCGGGACCGTGATCAAGGCGGGCGAGGCGATGAGCGACGCAATGGCGGCGACAGAGGCAACTACCGGTCGCGTCAGTACGGCAACTCATCGAACCCGAATGCACGCAATTCGGGCAACAGCGGCGTGTACTTCCGCAACAATGAGTCCGGAAACGGTGGAGGCAACAGCTACTACCAGAATGGAGGAGGCGGCGGTGGCACTTACAACAAGGAGTCGCGCTATGAGTCGTCCGGCGGCGGCGGAGGAAGCTATCGGGGCCAGCGCGGTGGTAACCAGCAGAGAAATGTTAATGGTTCGTACGGAGGCGGCAGGCCCATGGGCGATCGTGGGCGTGGCGGAGCGGGCAACCAGGGAGGCGGTGGTGGCTACATAAACCGCCAGAACCAGTCGCAGCGCATGCCTCTTGGATTGGAGAATAAAAACTGAGCAAACAATACGTATTAACCGCAAAACAAAAAACATACAATTCATGCAAACCATACACACAGAAAACCCATAAAGAAAAAAGGAAACCAATCATCCACATACAAGTAATGGCCACGTAGACGTACAATTATCGTTACGTAAAAAACTCTCAACCAGAAGAAATGGAAATCTATCAAAAGAATCCTTTATAACGCAACTAGGGAAACGAAAATGAGGCAGCAGCAAAAACAAATTCGCGCGCATTTTTGAATACAATTTATAATTATTTCCCTTGATTTTGGTTTATTTGATAATGTATTAATAATAAAACAAAATAGTTGTTAGAAACAAAAAGGAGTTACAACTATATACAGGAAAGTAAACGCTCTAAGGGTTTCTAAAACTCCCAGGCAGGACATGACTTCGGCAAAAGAAAACCAACGAAAGATGGGCAAAACAACAAAACTCGGATCAGCCAATCCTCGCCCGACTTTACTATATCCCTGTTTGGCTGCGTTAATAACAACACAGATGTCGAGAAAAAGAAAATAAAAAGTATTTATACGTCTTAGCAATTAAATAACGATTCTGAAATATACAAATTAATTACTATTACCTATATATATAAACGAAGGATAAATATATTTATAGTTTGTGCTCTTACTGTCTTGCTCTATCCCATTTCAACACCTTTTTTTTGTTTTGCCAAACTTTTACACACAAACAAAGAAAACTAAAATACAAGACCACATAAAAAAATAATAGTTGTAATTAATACTGCGTGAATGAAGAAGCGTGCACACTAACAGTGCATTATAAATGAAATGAAAATTATGTATTTGCAAAATAGTACATACATTAAACAAAAGTATATAAACCACTTGTTTTCTTTAAATACTTTTATTCAAAATGGTTCAAGGTTCTAGTAGATATATTGTTTTTAACCCAAGATTGATAACAAATTTAAAAAATGTCAATCAAAATAATTTGTTCCAGTATGGAAAGCTCATTTTTAAATCCTGATGAAAAGGGAGCAAATAAAATTCAAAGACATTCTCACCCATTATTAAAATATAATACAAAAATCTTTAGTTTAGATAAGATCTTTTAAAACATATTTTCTACTATTTTTCCTTTTCTGGTTCTATTTTCTTGGACTCCACTGCTCCTGTATCGCAGAGAAACCAAAGACCAGTTAGAATTAGTGCAATACCAATTCCAGATAATGACGAAAGTGGCTCCTGGTAAACAAGTGCTCCCAGAATAAACTAGATAATGAATGTTAGTCATAATTTAGTAATAATATATGAAAACACCTACTGATAAGACATAATTGGAGCCTGCCGTTACAACAACGCAGGTTAAAGTTTGATCGGTCATTTGAAGAGCCTTCAAAAAACAACGCAAGTTGCTAACATTGCAGATTATCATGAGAGCCAGAGGTAGGACCTGCAGAATTGCAATTTCTATAAAGAGTTTCTATAAATAGTTTCAAATAGCTTGCTTTGTAAATAAACAAACTTGCCGAAATAAGAGGAGTCGGAAATTATTCCAGAAGTATTCAGCAATTTCTGGGCGCTGAGGTGGCTAGGAAGTTTTCCAAAAAAGCTTCCCCCAGCGGCAAAGGACCCTGCCACCAAGCTATAGCGATATTTTGCAAGGGCTTCCATTTATTTTTTAATATACAAATATGTAAACAAATAAATAAACATTATTTATCCAGTGTTAATTAACATTAAAATGTTGCCATCAGCTGATATCTACATCGATGTAACAGCGATGGCTGGCCCTGCCAACTTGTGTGGCGAAAATAACAGTGTTTAGAATAATCCACTTGGCGCCAGTTTAAATGAAACATTATGTGCAAATTTTTTTTTGTATTTCATTTGTTTATTTTACAAAACGTTCAGCTAATGCCTTGACATTTAAATCGAAAAAGTCTCATTTGCTAATTGCGCGTTGTGTTTTTGCATTTTATCTCTTAATCATTTGGAATTGTGTATATATACAAACATAGTTGCTACATAAATAATACAAAGTTTCTTGTATCTCTCAACAAAACTAAACTCACAGAACGCACAGCAAAATATTTTCATTCAAAAATAAATCCAGATCCAACTAAACCAAATCGTTATGCTGACTGGCTAAAAAATCTTTTGAATTCGAACATTTAGACACTTATATGGGGAATTGCTTGAGTGCTTTGCCTTTCGTTTCATTGCTTTGCTTTACTTTGATGTCACGTTTTAACTACAATTTCGCTATCGTATATTTATTTAAATATTTCATACTTGTTGCATAATACTTTGCCTGTTTCGGTTTTAGCACTCACACACGGAACCACAGATATTCTCAATGCACTCCAAGCAAATCTATTAATTTAAGTTCTTAGCACTGCTATATAAATATTTTTTGATGTTTTTTTTATAGTTTTGATTTTGCTTTTACATATTAACTAAGGTAAACTGCTCACATTTATTTTAAATTTTCTTTTATGTTCTTTAAAATGTATACATATGGTTGTATATTTGTATAAATTTGTATCGTATAATTGGTTGTGTGTGTGTGTAGTGTAGTGTCTGCTAGGAAAATGCAACGACTTTGAGCCGTTCTAGGAGCTCACAGAATTGAACCCCAAATCTTAAACCAACATGCATTTGTGTTTTTAACATTGAACAATTCACGCACTGAATTCGGCTAATCTATAAAAAAGACACTGTTTTCATTGCCATTTAAACAATGGTCTATCCCTCAGACAAATCTGGTTGGTTTGATACCCTGTGATTCTAGTTGTTAGTAAACTTAATTTATCATCTACATCAGGACGCAGCACTTGCGACTGGAACTGGTGCTGTCGGTGACCACATCCCCGGTGATCCCGCTGAACTTGTTCAGCGAACTGCCCGCCGGCGATGACACCTCGAAGTCGGATAGTAGGCTTCCCGGACCCATGTGACCCATATGACCCATTGGTTGCGTGGAGATCGGTGCTGATCCATTGTTGTTGTTGTTGCTGGTGCTAATGTTGTTGTTGTTGTTGTTGCTGCCACTGCCGCTGCTGCCGCCGCCGGCTCCTAAAACAGAACCATTAGTTGAGGTTGCAGTTGCAGCTGCAATTTGATGGGCATTGCTAGTTGTTTGGGATGACAATTCGAAATTATTGAGTACATTGGCGGTGCGTGAAAGCGAGCGTTGCTTCTTCAAATTGGCCAATGTGGCACTATAGCCATCCAAGGCAACAAGCTGCTGCTGCTGCTGTTGCTGCTGTTGATGTTGCTGGTGTTGCTGCAACAGCAATACATGTTGCTGTTGCTGCTGGTGATGTTGCTGCTGCTGCTGTTGCTGTTGCTGATGGTGGTGCGTGCTGTTGGTGTCTGGATGTTGGTGGTTTTTGGCAAGGCGGTGGGTGTGTTTGTTTTTTTTTTTGTTTTTTTTGGGGGTGCGGTGGTGGTGTAATTGTTGTTTTTATTGTTGATGATGATGCGGGCAGGCAGACGACACAGAACGGGCGAAACGAGGCACGACAACAACAACGAAAAAAGAATGAAACAGAAACAAGCAAATGTTATTTTACTTTTCTTCTCATTTTCCCTGAGAGTTAAGTTTGCAAATACCTCTTTACCAGTCGGATGTGATCGGTTATGTGGATGGATGTTACATGCAAGTACATTATGTTTTAAGTCAGCCATGCTTTCTGTCATTTCAGTAATCAAATCATAAAAATCTAGCCCTTAGTTACCTCACATCTTAAGCTTTCGACCAAAAGAATACTTAGACATTACAAAATATAAATATATTATTAAAGGATAATAAATACATGCAAACTACAAATTTTCACAGTATTTCTACTATAAGTTATTCGTTTTGGTAAGGAATAGTTGATAAAGCTAAAAGTTCCTCAAAATATCAATAGATCAGGTTTAAAAACCTTTATCCATTTGGTTTTTTCTATTTCTTTTTTGTTTATTTTACCAAACTTACTAAACGAATAAGTTTTAACTCACAAATGATATAACTAATTTTAAAAACTCCTTCCCTAATTTTAGGATATCAAAGCTCTCCTAGTGGGCATACCCCCATTCGATATGCTACCCATTCTGTAAGCTGTGTTTGCTTGTTGGAAGTATTTTCATTTCCATTTTAGTAGAGTCGTTAAATAAACATTAAACATTGACATTGACACGGGGACAGAATGGCGCTTAAGCAGGACTCTCCGTGATACGTTGACGCTCCTTGGGAGCGAAATCGGGTGGTCTGAGGTGGAATGAGTGACTGGGTGGCATGGGTGGAAAGGGGAAAGCGGAAGCAAGCCTGACACGTGGCCAGTGGTTGACTCACCCACGAGAACGGTGACCTGGACATTGATCTTGCCGTTCGCAGCCTCCTTGGAAGATTGGATCTGAACGGCCTCGGCACTGGCCGCTGTTCCCTTTTCGGTGAGAATCACGGCCGCCGCCGAGGTGGCCCGCTGCATTTCACCCGCTGCGCCGGCGGCTTTCAGGCGGAGCAGCTCGTCATTTTCCCGGCCATCCGGCGGGCGACGCGACTGATAGGAATGTGTGGCGGTGGCCGCCAGTGCGGCGGAGGATGCCGTCATGGCATTGTCCAGCGCATCGGCGGACTTGGAGTGCGGCAGTAGTTGGCCATTCGAACTGCCCGTCGAGGGTCGCTTCTCCCCGTTGTTGTTCCCATAACCATAGCCATTGGTCAGCGGATCTCCGCCCGAAGAGGGCGTCTCCGAATCCGTCGCCTCCTGGGCCTGCAATCGCAATCGCGTCTCCTCGACGGCATCCTTTTTGGTTGTCAGCGTTTTGTCCCGCAAACTAGTACGTCGCACTGATTGGGCTCTGTGGGACGAGGTATTTATTGGTTTGTTAATGCTTTTTTGATGGGCCTTTAAAAATATATGAGCGTACCTTGTGTTGTTGCTCTGTGAGCGTCGAACGCGGCGCCGTTGCGCCTCGGCCAGTCGTTTGCTCTCCTGCTCCGTCTTCAGCTGTTCGATGCGCTCCCTGATCTCGGGATCTTCGCAGATGTCTACAAGTAGATGATAATTAATGATCACTAATTATTAAATCATTAAATCTCTTTTTAACCTAATCATTCTTGCCTCTTTACCCGTTAACAACCCCTAACAACTTAATACTAAAGACTAAATGGTTCGTTTTAATATCTTGAAAATATATTGTAATGACTTAATGGACTTACTAGCCTATAATTGTTGAAACTTACATAGTATCAAAAAAAAAAATTTTATATTTTAAGTATGTAAAAAGTCCTTTCATTACTTTACTAAAAAATTTATATTTTATACGTGTCCTACAAAACTTAAAAAATCTATAGCACTGCTCATTTTTTGCACACCTGAACCAGTTTTGTTTGTTAGAAATAGTCTGTATCCATTCATACAATTTTAAACTGAAAAGATTTACACGATTTCCATGTTAACATTAACAACAATTTATAGCTCAATTTCATATTCATGTGCATTTTGCCCTACAAGGATATCCGTTGCTTCAGTGCCTCAACCTTTTCGCATATTCTCACCTGAGGGCGTCTCATCGTCCTTGTTGCGAACATTTAAATCAGCACCACATTGGGCCAGCATCTCCAGCACCTCAAGCTGGAAAAAAGGAATAATATAAAATATTATTTTCCCATTGTTCACATTTTATTCGACCTCACTTACATGTCCCCAGCAGGCGGCGGCATGAACCGGAGTCCACAGATCCTTGTCCATGGCATCCACGTTGACATGCTGCTCCAACAAAAACTCCACGACACGGACATATCCATTGGCAGCAGCTATGTGAAGCTGAACAATTGAGATAAATTAACAGTTATACACAGGGAAAACAATATGTCTTTATGTGGTGAAAATTAAAAGTTAGGTGGAAAAATCGTTGTGTTATAGAAGATATTAAAATATAACCAACGTATGACCTCGAGTAATCCAATAGATACAATTATAGTAAAAAAGGTCAACAGAAACCAACATAAAGAAAATTAATGTATTTAAGTATAAACAAAAAATTCAATCATATTTGTTTTATGTGAAATATTGCAAAACATTTTAACTTGTATATTTCTGTAAGCTTCCTAATTTTAGTATTAGTTTTACATTTAATTTTCTTTGTTGTAAATTCTAGCTCTGTTTCTTTTAGTATTTAGAGATTTAAAGACATCGATACATTTTTCAGCACATATTCTTTGCAAGGATGTCTCGTAATAGAGTACAAAGTTTAATCACTTACAGGTGTGGCACACTGGTAGTCCGGCTCCTCCAAATCCCCTCCGGTGCGGACCAGTTCCATGAGGTCGCGCAGCATTATGCGCTCCGTGGAGGAGCGCGTCTCGTCGATCAGTTCCTGGGTAACGCCCCGCTGCGCCATCTCGCCCTCAATGAAGTCGAGGGTATTCTCATCGTCGCACAGGTCATAGGGCATATTGCCGTCGGTGTTGACGGCCAGAAGATTGGCTCCGTTTCGGATCAAGATGCGCACCAGCTCGAGGTGGCCGCAGGTGGCAGCCGCATGTAGCGGCGTCCACTTATCACTATCCTGCGCATCCACATTCGCACCGTACTCCAGCAGGAGCTGCAGCATCTCCACGTTGTTATCGATGCACGCCTGGTGCATCGCCGTCAGTCCGTCCTCGTTGGCCGCATCCGGCGTGATTCCGTGCTGCAGCAGGGCGGCCACCTCGGGCATATCATTCCGGGAGGCGGCCTCGAGGAGCACCACGCTGTTCTCGAAGGATATGTGC